TGCCCACCACCCATAAGGGCTCTTTTGGGAGGTGACAAGTGGTATCAGAGCAGATTACTGCCTGCCAGGTGTGTGGACTCTCCATGGTCCAGTGGGACCCTCGGTGGAGCCGATCCGTGACGAGGGCGTCACGTGATTGGGTGGAGGAGAATGTCACAGACAAATAGTCCCACATTGGCTAGGTGTAGGACCGAAAAACAGTATTTAAGTCCTGGGCTGCCCACCACCCTTAAGGGCTCTTTTGAGAGGTGCCAAGCCGCAACCTTCCAAACCCCTAACAGGCACCATTAACACCCTCGATTTGACCCTAGCTTTAGGTCGTGTTGTGTTTGTAGCAATTTCCATTTTCTACCTTGTGTTGTTGTAATTTTCTATTTGAATTCATGAATAATATTTGTTTTCTATTGGTGTTTGGTTAAACCTTGGTACAGTTGGTATCTGAGCTAGCTTAACTCTAGTACTATCCCATGATTACCAAAATCATTCCCCCTAGCTGATTATTTAAATCAACCACCTAAACTTTTTTTTTCCCACCCTAAGGGAGAGTTTGGCTGCACTCACAATTTTCTTTAAATAGGATTTAGTAAATTTAGTAAATTCAAATTCATCAAATCCATACGTTGTTAAATCTCTAATAGTGTTTGGCTCAGTTGAGGTTAAACCCAGTTAACTTATTAGACATGTTTGGCATTTTATTTCAGGATCATATAGCCATTGTTTTCTTCCCACGCTAAATCCATTATATCTACCAAATCGCCAGATTTAAAAAATCCGGACTTACATCCAAAAATAGACAGAACGGAGAGAAAAATGGATTTAAAAGAGCGCCCGATATTTTCACATTTGGCTGAAGTTACGTTAAATCTAATCATAAATCCTACTAAACGTATACTGCCACACACCCCCAAAATCAGCCCCGTACACTCTCTTTCACCTCCCAACCCTAAACCCTAACCATGTCACCAAAGAGACGAGTGATGGAAGTTGTGCAAGAGCTCATCATGGAAGAGATACAACCGATAATCCGCTAAGTTCAGCAAAGGTTTGCTATAATTGAGGAAATGACTCATGAAGAGATCACCGTCGATCGTGATAATGAGATTCGAAGAGGAGAAAGGAAGAAAAATCTAAACCCCTTCCATAGGGATGATTCCAATGAATAGGATGATAGGTCAAGCGCTTTGGGATTCAATATCAGAGGAGATCGAGGGATGGAGTAACATTTTGAGGAGAGAGATACCCGAGAGTGAAGGTAGATTTGTCCGATATCAAGGTAAGAAAGAATCTGGATGCTTCATTGAGTGATTGTAAACCATTGAGAGAATTTTTTAATACAAGGAGGTGTCAACTGATAGAAGATTGAAGCTTGTGCCAGAAAATTAAAAAACGTGCCTTTTGTGGTGGAAGAATTTGAAGAGAGTGAGATAGAGAGAAGGTAGGAACAAAATCAGTACTTGGGAGAGATAAAGGAGATGCAAAGGAAGCTCCCACCACCACACTACCGCCAAGACATGTTCTTGAAGCTCCATCCCCTACAACAGAGAGAGTTGTCAATGGAGGAGTTCGCAATAGAGTTTGAGCAGCTCATGCTGAAATATGAGCTGATGGAGCCATAGGAGCACACTATAGCCAGATATTTAGGAGGCATGAAGTCAACCATCAACAATGTTATCCGACCTAAACCACTGCACAGGTGTGACAACCCTCTATGTAATTATCCCTATAAAAAATAATGTAAGCAACGCCATTTTTATCGAGAGTATTCTTAGGCATCCCCAAGATGTAATTAACCAAAGGAATACGCCCCTTTGAAAGTTGCTCTTGACCCAAAACAATCACACAAAACTTAATTCTCTGTTTGTAGGTTGCGTTCACTGAGTTTTCTTCGTGGATATGTTTCCAATGCATTCTTGATTCAACTTCATTCCGGATGTACGCTTTCGGGCAATCGCGCAAAAGTTACCTTATGAAAGTTCTTCATATTCTTTTTTAATTATTTATCCATTTTTGTTGTATTTTCTTTCTCTCTGGTTCCTCTCTATTTGAATCATTTTCATGGTTCAAAAAAGACTTTTTTGAAAAGAGAATTATATAACGGCTATAAGACAAACTGGCGACTCCAAAAGTTACAAAAAGAATGAAAACAATATCAGGAGAAACCAGGCTTTTGGAGTAAAGATTGACTTGTCGGTTTTGATGGTCACGTGGATCTAGACGAGTTCCTTGAGTACTCAAGATAGTGAAATGAGTCTTCGAGTATAAGGATAATTCACTTGAGAGAATGGTCAAACTAGCTATTTATTAAGTTAAGAATGTTTCTTTGTGGTGGGAAAACTTGAAATGCTTATGCCAGTGTGAGAGGAAAAGCAAAATCACTAACTAGTTCAAAATAAAATAAAAAATGTAATGCAAGTACCTACTAGCTCATTACAGATATGACATGTTATCAAGACTTCAACACTTGCAACAGTAAGAACACTCAATAGATGAGTGCACAACTGAATTCGAGCAACATATGTTGAAATGTGAGCTAGTGGAGACAGAGGAGACCCATAGTTTAATGACTTAGGGGATTAAGACCGTCCATTGGCAATGTGATATAGTTACAACCGTAATGGGCAACATAGGATTTTAGACCTTAGCCTTAAATGTTTAGAAACAACAGAACAATATTAGTTCACCCCGCCCCTCAGACAAAGTTCAACCCCCAGATCAGACAATAAGAGTATATCTAACAGAGCATCCAAGCCTACCCCACCCGAGAAAAAACACATTCATAAAGAAAAAAAGTGGAGACAATTAACACTCCTAGATTTATCCTAGTTAAGAAGTACTTCAAGTGCCATGATTTTGAACAAATGACGTCTGATTTCCAAAACAAGAGGATGATCTTTTTCACTTAGCAGAGAGCAGTTGAAATGGATAATGACATAGGAGGGAATGAAGACATTAGAGAGGAGTGTCAGCTTCTAGCAAACGGGGAAGAGATGCGAGTGATTCAAGCTGAGCCCGGGAGAGACTCTAATAGGACTAACATTGATAGTCTTAGAAGGTAGTGAGTCCGATGAGCTACTACCAAGGATGTTGAATAAGTTACCCGATGCCCAGACTTACAGTTTAACTTCTTGACGGCTAATGAAGAGAGATTCAGTATGTCATAGATTTCACCCAAGGGCCGGTTCCTCCAAATAGACTTGTTTATCAGATGCACCCAACCGAGTGCAAAAAGTGGGAGAATTATGATACAAATTTAATGGCTCGAGAGCTGGTTCGCAAGAATACCCACCTATGTGCTATTTCGGCTCTCATTATGCCAAAAAAAGATTATTGTTTATTCTATCAAGATAAACTTTGGAAGGACACATGTTTTAGAGTTGCATAAAATGAATGTGACCATAAATTTTGCAGTGAGGCTGCCTTAGACACAACAAGGCGATGATTTTGTTATAGTGGTGGTAGATTGATTCCAGAGGCATCTAGAGAAGAAGAAATGTATTCCAACCGGGAAGAATGATGTGAGAGCTTCCCGTAAAATAATGATCTCACGATTGCAACATCTCAAAACTGTTATCAATAGGTATAACTAAGTAACACAAGAATAATCATCAATAAAGATGACAAAGTACTTAAATCCTAAATGAGCATGAAAAAAACTAGGACTCCAAATATCTTAATGAAATAACCCAAATTGAATACAACTATGACTTAAAATAGTCAAGAGAAAAGACACTTGATCATACTTACCAAGTTCACAAGTATCACACTGGAACTTAGAAATGATAACAAAACCTCAAAAATCGTGGAGGTGGAGGATGATCAAGATGGCAACACTAATAATATATAGTCATAGTGGAGAAGAAAGAAGAAGTGATCATGTTCATCAACAAATAATGCAATAAATAGTCTTGCTAGTACTGAAATCAGGAAAAAAAAAATGAAAAGGATAAAAAGTTGAAGAGGACTCGTGAGATTTAATGAGACAGTGAATGGTTAATTCATTATTAGAGAAATTAGGGACAAATAACACATCAAAGAGTGATTCTATTTGAGAGAGATAAAATACCTTCGCTAGAAGCATTTGAAGAAGAAACACCAGCAACAACAAAGGCTTGTAGAGGAAAATGGTCGAGAGAGAAACAATCACTGATTACCAATCTTTTGTGAAGAACCACGAGAGTTTACAATTAAGGATATCCAAGATGTTAGATGAGGCAGCTCCAACAAACCAAAGAAGAAAACAACACGAGAAGCAAATATGGAGGTCTTAATGTGAAACGACAAGTGATCATAATCCTCCTGAGATGGCATGATAGATATTAAAGGATTAGTAGTCATGGGAGAACAATCAACAGGAACAAAATGTCCAGCAGTATGTTATACATTAAGATGATAGTCAAATTCAACCTAACCCCACTTTAAACTAATGATTAATTTAACCATAGCAAAAGAGAGAAGGGATGTCCATTATCAATCCGGCCTCAAACCACACAACTTTCATGACCACCATGCTGCTAAGTAGCGGAAGAAGTTGCTCAAAAATTGGTAAAGGAGAAGATAGCCCACTGATTCAAAGAACATGGGAAAGAACAATTGCAAGATTGAGAACTATAGAATCTGCCATTAGTTAAGATAACAAATGTCAAAGAGATGGATGAAAGCAATATTGTAATTTAGCAATCACAAATTCTACATTTTGTTTTCAACAAACCATTAGATTAATGATAAAAGCCATGTATTGAAGTAACTCATCTTGCTAATCCCAAATGAATCCTGAATGGGGAAATTTTCTATTGTAGAAAAAACAAATCAGAATACAAAGTGTATACCCCAAAAATATTACTTTCTTATAAATAATTGGAGCAGAGAAAATCAAACATTGCCTTATTAGTCTCATGAAACTGTGAAGGCAGCGAAAAGTTGGAAATTATTATGGAGCATCCAAGCAAGAACAACATAATCAAAAGCTTGTCATTTGTAGAACTTGATGATACCATCATCAATCAAAAGAAGACACATTGCTATGAAAGTTTATCACCCAAAAAAAAAAAAAGAAAGGCAACGGCAAGTGGTGTTTGTACCACCATTGTACTTGATGGAGACGTTGATAGTGGGTGAGGGTTTTGTATAATGTATAAGAAATGGAGAAGAAGAGGCCACGATACTTTTATAAGTGACAGATTAGATCATTCAAAATAAAGATTCGTCATGGGCAGTAGACAGTGAGAGTGCTGAATGATTGCAGTAGCATTTGTGGGCTGGAGGAAACTATCGGTCAGTAAAACTGCAAGGCTACGTCAATGTGGAGCAGCAAAGACAGCGAGTGATAAAAGGGCTACGGCACTGAGCAATGATCGAAGCATAGATGCCAATGCAGCACGATGCGAGGAGCAACCATGAGTAACTAGTGATGCGGGTGCAAGTGATGTGGGCATGCAAAGCAACCAGCAGGTTCATGGGTAACACATTATGGGCATAAAAGTGTGTGGGTAGTATTCGAGATGGGGACCTTAGAATAGAGATGAGCAAAGATGGGGATGCAATCGATGAGCAAAAGATGATAGGAGTTACTCGGGGAAGGGAACAACTATAATTTGTTTAGCTTATAATTCCATATTGATAAGAAAGAAGATTTGTCTTTATTCTAAAGAAAGGTTTTATTTATAATAGAAGAAAAAATTACAATGTCTAGAAGAACCGCCCTATTACAGGACTGCTAACCATAATAATGCTTTCTTCAATATAAAAATATAATTCTAATATTTTCAATTTTTATTTTTTCAAGCACATAAAAAAATTACCTGCTGCACCAAGCTTTTCAGCAAGTTTTTCCAATAACTTGAAGTTCTCTGCACTTTTCAACCCTCGTCCGCCTGTAACAACAATCCGTGCATTTCCAAGATCCGGAAGGTCAGTTTCTTGAGAGGTAAGCTTTAACCACCAAGATTTCCTCTGTGTTTCTGCATTCAAATAAGTGTGAATATGAACAGAATTTCTTAATCATACCTCTACAAACTTGCATAATAAAAGTTCAAAAGAATCAAATAAGCTTAGAATATCTACAAAATAATAGGAAACTGACTAGCATCAAGCACCGTTAGGATTTTATCATTTTAATAGGGTTCCTCAAGGTTACAGACTGAAAAAAAAAGTCTATTCCACTTAGATACTACGTCAGAAATAGTTGCAGAAAGCAAAATCATCAAGTCAAAACTTCAATATGGATGCCATGGGTCTACATATTCATAACAGCCCGTGCAGAACAAACTCCATCTTAAATTAAGATAAATAATATTTCTCCCCTGCACAAGCGCAACAGAATTTGGAGTAGAACTTTATAAGTATGTTCAGAACACAATCTAAAAACCCTAATTTTTTTAATAATGCCAATTATATATGAACTAGAGCAGCGCAGAGAATAAATACAACCTTATAAGGAACCGATGGTGAAGAAAGAAAAAAATAATGATGCTTCACATGTACAGTTTGCATAATAGAAAGACGTTGACCACGGTCACTTTATGGTTGACTCACAGTGAAGCACAAGAATCTTTTAGAAGCCAGAAAAAAAAATTGGCCTACTTTTCAAACTAATGATAATTAAACTCAATTTCTTAACTAGTAAAATAATTAGAAGCACGCCCGATTAAAGAAGCTAAGAAGAACAAACAGTAAAAACCATAATGACGAGTTCTAAGAATATTATTTTAAATTTAAAGAAAAGCAATATTGTTGAACAATAAAAAGGTTACAGAAAAAACCATACCTTTGTTAAAGGTTGAGAGGTCAACCTGAGAGATAGGGGCTGCATTAGAGTCCACTTCACTTGGGATAGCTGGAGGGGCAAATGATGTGGGTCTAATGGTCATCACACAAGGATCTAAGCCAGTATAACGAACCATACATAGAGCATTACCAGCATAAATTGGCCTGGCAAAAAATGTCACGCTCCATTATAAAAGAGGCATCAATCTTAGTTATTGAGCAAAATATATAAGAATCAATTTTTGTTAAGGAAGATTGCAATTGGTTGCCTCACATTCTTACCCTTCGAACAACTAGATCTTTGATTTCTCAGAACTATCAAGAAAAAGATTCCCCGTCATTGTTGGATGAGCTCATGTAGCTTTTGATGATACAGAAGGGCAATAGTTATGAAGGACCAAGACCATTCCCAGGAATGGATGAGCCAATGCCATAACAATAATGCAGGGGAGAAGCGCTTACACTAACAATAATTATCACTTTTGCTTTCATTTTGAACTGCCCCACTATGTTGTCATTAATTGATTCCCACAAAAGCTTTTCAATTTTTCTTAAAAGTACTTTTAAAATTCACCTTTCAAGTTCTATCAAATTTGTAGATAGATGCTGAGTTATTATGATTCAAGGAAACTTCATAAGCTTTGAGGAATCAAAAACGAGGAAAGCCTTTCATTGACTCTTGAATAAAATAATAATCTTAATAATTTCATTAAAAATTTCTGAGAGATGGTTTTATTGGGCATTTACAATCTTCCAAAGGTGCTTAGGCTTCAAACCTCATTTATAAGTCTCATTAGGAACAGAAAAACAAGGCAGTCAAAATTAAGTCCTGTTTAATGAATGTAGTTGAAGTCACCAAACAAGTATGAGTCACTGGCCAAAGGACACAGACTTCCTAGCCTGTCGAGTTTCCTAACTTAGACATCACTATGCCTATGCCTGTCTCAAGCAAACAAGCCAGTTCTAAACAGTTTAAAGACTTTTTTGGATGCAAATATTTAAAATTCGGCAATTTAAATAAAATATAAAGTAAATTTAGTATTTTTTAAATTTAAGAAATAACTTTCTAATATTTGGCTGGACAATGGAGACGCCATGTTTTCTGAGTGATGATCATCTGGATGTGGCAAGTGAAGATGCAGTCTCGTAAGAAGTGAAGGCAGAGTTAAGTGTAGAGGCACAAGTGGTAGCATTGCTATGCAAAGGTGGGGATTGCAAATCACAAGTTTTACTGAAGTGCAAAAGTTCACGTGTTGCATTCTCGAATTGTCAAATTCAGGTGATTTTAGAGCACACTAAAAAAAGTAATTTAGTTATTTGTCACAACTTGGCTCGAAAGCTTGAAATTTCAGAACCGGAACTGGCGGTCAAACATTATAGATACACAAGTCTAACATATATAATAATCAACAACTACATCCAAATGGTAAAGTGCCACTAATACATCACTCAAACAAATGTCCGGTTTATAATAATACAAGCAAGGAAAAAAGATTAAACACAAAAAAAAAATGTTTGATACCTATTTTCATTTACTCCAACAAATACTCTTCTTTATCTATCATCTCTATTCAAATGAGCTTTTTATGAAATAAATATTTAAACAATAGGTTGAGTTATATAGCCACTTATTGAATAATTACAGTTTTATTATACATTAAACTTCTATGCATATGCTCTTAACGTAAATATTCCTAAATGATTATTAAACATTAAAATTTTATTCAATTAAAACTTTAAAATATTAACATTTCTTTAATTAGAACTTTTTTAAACAATTTTAATTACATTTCATATAAGAAGTCACCTCATGAGCACTATTGAAAATTCTCTACCAATTAAGAAACAACCATTTTCATATGCTTTTCTAAATACTTTTATTTCAATTTTCATACACAGATGCAATAGCAACACTAGAAAGTACCATACGGAAGTGACTCGTATAATTAACTTGTACATTTATTTCAATTGATTTTTCTTAAAAGCTTTTTAATCATTAAAATATTTGTTAAACTTTCAATGCAAATTTCAATATATAAAATATTCTAAAAAACTACACGTTCATTTGATTTGTTCATACCATCATGATTTAAATCTTTGAAAACATGAAATGAGTTAAAAAAAAAACTAAATTTAGTATAAGTAGAAATAATTACCCACAACAATCCTTCGATGACTTATCATATCACTTAATTCTTAGCCATCATCTCCTTAATAAATCAACTGTAAGTAAATATTTATATAATAAATGCACACGAAAAATATATCAAAATTTATTATTTAAATATATCACTCACTTTACTATTTTAAATTTGAACTAGATATTCTTATCCATTCAATAATGTGTGAAATATTTATTACTTGTTAGTTACTCTAAATTATCAAATTTAAATCTTCCATGTCACGACCCAGTTAGGAGCTTGAAATTTACCAAGGCGAGAGCAAACAGTCGGGCAGTGAAAATAAAAATTTTCTATATTCATTTTTTATAACTAATATTTAACAAATGAAAGAACCAATAAAAATATAAATTAAAGCAATACATTTAAATTTTACCTTATTTTTTATTGTCCCCGTCATCTATAAGCATTTTCTTGTCTATCACTCATCTTTTAATAAATAATTAAACCTGAAAAAGTTAGTTTAAAATAACAGTAAGCTAGTTGACTAATAAATACTCATACTCTTAGTGAATAATAATTCAATGAAAAATGAGACAACATGCGTGTCAATCAATAATTGCTTCGCACAACATTGACATGTATTGTTTCTCTCCCATTGGCTTTGCCTTTCCCCTTGCACACAATGTGTCTCCTTTCTTGTTTTCTCTATTAACTATTCCCACAATTCACTCTTCGAAGCGAGATGAATCCCACAACCCCTCCATCTATCGTTTCCTATTTAACGAAATCGAGTTGTTTGTTTCATTAAACCAACTGCTTTAAATTTCTCAAAATATTTTATTTTGTTTTATTTTATTTATATTAAAGTTTAAATTCCTCAAAAAAATACTTTGGATTTAGTTTACTTCAAACCAAATACTAAAAAGTTAAAGGTCATGTATTTCAAAAGTAGTACAATTAAAACACTTCCAATCAAACGACCACTAAGCTGAAATTCAAAGAAATCAAGTTGTTTTGTACAAAAACCAACCTAGCTAGACCAAATTGATTGCCCGCACATCCCATATCCCTTTCATTCTAAACTTAAGGAATCTTTTGATTATCAATTTCAAGTATCTTTAATGCAATAGTTACTCGTTAACATGCAATGATAGGAAATTAGTCCACGGTTTTAAAAGAGTTCATAATTTAGTTTTCAAATAGATCTCTCCTCTAAAAATACTACTTCAAACTTTAAACGAACAAATTGAAATCAAGAAAAAAATACACTTCAACATGCTTTAACTCCCACTCGGTGCCATGATTTGTTTCATCAATTGATTTAAAGGGAGTTTCGGAAGTGAGCTCAAGTGAAATGAGTAAATTTGAATTAATTTCAGTAGTAGCAGATCCAGTAGTTGAGTTTGTTGGGAGGTGTCTGTATGTGTGTCCATAATCCATACAATCATGACATGAAAGCCAAGTGGTAACATGAAGCACTAACTTCATTCCCCTAGTCATAAACTCTTTAATTCAATAAGAATAATTTACAACTTCTTTAAAGTCATTTTCTGTGACGACCCGACCCAAGGGTTTGGAATGTCCATGAAAAGAATGGATGTTCGGATGATGAAATTAAAATTTTCTATTTTCATTTCTACCACTAACATTTTACCATCCCAAGTAAATAGAGAGAGCCACCAAAGAAATAAATTTACTTTTTTATTTGCAAAGATCGTCTTTTGTGTACATTCTTTCTTTATAGTGCTCATCTTTTATTTAAAACATTAAACTTAAAAAAATATTAAGACAATATAATAAGTTATCTAAGATAACCCAGGAACAATTATACTTCTAAACTATAGTAACCCGGGAAAATGAGGCAATGGGTATGTTAATCTTTTCTAATGTGTTCTAGAAAATTATATAGTAATTTAAATAATAAATTCATGATATTTGCTTATGATAGAAATCAATTTTTTTCTACCTTTGCTTTACTTTTGAAGATTTAATTTTTAACTTAAGTATATTTCAGACTCTTAATGTTCACATCCGTCTCAAGAGCACCATTAAATTCAACCTAACATACTCTTGGCTGATACATACTCTGTTGGCTCAACGAGGCACAAAACATGTCACTGTTGTCTGAGATAGAATGGTAACTACTCACCCCCGCTTGATATTATCTCATCAACGTAGCAGTTAGTGATCTAAATTTCAGAATTATTTGTGGTCCTAGGTTACCTATTCACCGTTAGTCGATACTCCCACATCGGCATAACGGTTGATGATCTAAATGTCATAAAATGATAGGAAAATATTTACACACGCGGGTATTTTGGAGTCCTCGACTAGTACCATATGAGAGTGAACTTTGTCTTTTGCAAGCATATACAAACACATGTATACAATATTTTTATTTATTCAACACAATAAATATTATTTTCTTATGAGACAATTTATTTATCTCTAATAAATAAACGCACATCCAGTAAACTCTTAAGATCAAGAAATAATATGATATATGCAACTCTAAGAGAATCTAAATGTCATGCAATAATCTAATAATTTTATGGGAAAATTATTGTGCAACAAGTTAACATGTATATTTTCCTACCTAACAACATAAAGAATCTATTGTAATTTAAATCATACTAGAATAGAACATAAACGAAGTGATACCAGAGGAGAAAAGCACAACCCATAAAAAAACCTAAATATTATTATTGAAAATGAAATCGGTTATGACAACCCTTCAAAACGTGAAATAAACGACAAACAAACCCAAATATTATTACAAAAGGCTGCGGTTTGGAGGGCAGCAGGTGCTGCGATTTGGAAAGCCGCAGGAACTATAGTTTTGGAGGGGAGAGTGGTTGGACGCGTCTACTGTCAGAGGGGAAATAGGTCGTCACAGTCACCTGTAACTTCAGAAAAGCAAAGTGCAAGTGACATTAAAGAAAACTTGTAGCTGAACGTTTTGGAAGAGAAACATGGGTTACGTGAGCAAGGAGAGGATAAGGCTTCGATTTGGAGGGCAGCAGGTCTCGCTTCTTGTATGGC